GCGTAATCGACACATGCCTCGATGCGCGCTTCGCAGATTTTCTTCCGGTTTACTCGGCACACGCATCGGAGCCTCGGCACATTCGGGCACATCACTAGTTTTGAGCTTCTGCCATGGTTTTTGTTTGATACTTTGTTTTGGATTGAATTTTCTGTGTTTTATCAATACACTTCAAGTACAACCTGCTCCTCCCTCGTGCCTGCTTTTTGGGGTCCACCTTTTCCTCAAGCCATGACCACTTGAACGTGTTCCTAACACTCGCGTCTGTTGCACGTATGTCAGCTTGCCTCTCTACCTGTTTGACCATTGCGCTGGGGCCGTACCTGGCCAATCACGCATGAATTAGTTTACACAAAACGCTATTCAAATACTCAACATTCAATGATTAATCTTCATTTTGTGTGTACACGTGCACCCTTTGTGGCTTCTGTTCTCGCCAAAATGTCGAAATCTTCGAGATATGGCAAGGCTATGAGAATGCGAGGGGGGGTGTTACTGTTGTAGCAACGCCACACGATTGAGCCTCAGCAGTAGATAGTCCGCTGCTCTCTGTTGTGCGTGCGTCGGCGCGAACATGTATGCACGCGCGCGTCTTTTGGTTTCAACCAATCAGCGCCGACGCAACCGACGTCCCAGATCAAATAAGCTCTGATCTAAGACAGGGGTGTCAAACTCCTTTCACATTGTGGGCCACATACGGATTCGGTAGATGTCAAGTGGGCCGAACCATTAACATGATACCATACTGTGGTATGAATCACCAAAATCTCATCTCTTTCCCTTGTTTTGGTCTCAAGAAGCATTTGGCGCTTTCATATCATTTGCTGCGTTGGGTTTATCTCAGTGACAGACTGAGACTGCTGTTTTCTTCCCGATCAAAACAATGTTGTCTTCTACTGTGATCAAAACAGTGTGCCCCCGAGCGGATAATCCACGAATTGCATTTTATTTGAAATATTCATTCTGTGTCTTTAATGCATTTTTTTTTCACTTTTAAATTATCCCGCGGGCCGGATCGAACCTCCTTGGGGGCCGGTTCCGGCCCGCGGGCAGTATGTTTCACACCCCTGATGTCAAATAAGCTAGCCGAGACGACGTGACGCTCGAAGTCGGACGAACACATTCTTCTGCTAATCTGTGTGTTCCCCTTTTTGTCCAAATATATATTTTTACTACAACTGTCTTGTCCATGGTGTCTTTTATTCGTTCCACTGGGGTTTAGCAAGTGTGTTTATAATAGATTAGATATAGAGAAAGCTAAAGTTAGCTAACTAGCTAGCCAACTAATCAGCTAGCCAACTAGCTAGTGTTGGGGGATGAGCGGCCTCCTCTCCCCCGCGTGTTCGTTGAATTTCGGACGAGGAGAATGTTGGTAATCCAAATAAAGGCTGGAGTCGATGAACAGTTCCTTCGAAGCTTTTTATAACAGAATATTCCGGGCACCCACGAATCACAGACAATGGCTGCGCGTCACGAGTGCGAAGCAGGAAGAGCTTCACATCATTTTTATACCATCAAAAGGGCGGTACCGAGACACAAAGTGTGATATCATAACTTTCGTTTCTCCTAAACCAATTCTGAGCTTGGCGCATTCCAAAGTGTGTGCGTCTTCAGCAGGGAGTATTCCAATTCCAGGTGATGATTGTTACAAGGACGCCAAGCTACACTGCGGGCATGGGAAAGTTATACAGCATGACTAAATATGAGCATAGTACAGACTGAATAAGAGCAGAATACAGACTTCAGTCTCGATAATATGAAGTTACGCATGGTCATAGCCGGGCAGAATTCCGTCTCACCACACATTTACTGATTCAATGCATGATACACTCTGCGGTATTCGTCTAAAGTAGTACATCTCCAGTGATTTGAGATGTGAGTGCGCTGTGTACCACCCTCTTTTCATGGCAAGATACACTGTCATCATTCTATGAAAATACTGCCAAAAAAAAAAAAAAAGTGAAAACCCTAATGTGAACCAAAAACATTTCATGTGTGACTTTTCTGTAAAAGCAACATTTTATTTTAAATGATTGAGTTGAATGAACTGCGGTACTCTTCTCCGTTTGTTGTTCCAGTACTTGAAACCGAGATAACCAGGCTGTTGGACAAACAGGGATTATACTTATTTGACATCTACACCCCAGAAGTGCTTCCTCTGGATGTAAGTGTCACTTGAACACTTTTTTTGTCATCTGCCCATTTGTTCTCATGTCTTACACTCAGTGTTATTCCCTTTCGCTCAGGGATTTGTGATCATACAGATGGACTTTGGTTTTCCTCATCACCTCCTTGTTGACTTCCTCAAGATGACACTTCAGCAAACAGGCGGTCTGCAACAATAAAGCCTCGAGGCACTTTCTCCCTAACCCCCATTTCACAAGTAACTGGGTAATTTATATGCAGTATTGTTCATTTTTTGGGTGCGAGGTTGTTATTATAATTCCCCCAAAAATCTTTAATTAAGCAATGTAAGAAATATCAAGAAGTTTTGAAATGAGCTAAATTCAATCAGAATGACCTGAAGATGGACATGCACAGGAGATAAATCTGGCAGGTGTGGAGTACTTTTGCCACCTACTTGAAAAGACCGAATGCTGTTTTTTTTTTTTTTTTTTTTTGG